TTATTCTCCTTTAACATATATTTGGTGTCATTTTTCATCTATACCAGTGTTTTTCAACCCTTTTTTTTTTTTTTTTTTGAGACAGAGTCTTATTTTGTCACCCTGGGTAGAGTACTGTGGCATCAGAGCTCATGGCAACCTCAAACTCTTAGACTTAAGTGATTCTCTTGCCTCAGCCTCCTGAATAGCTGGGACTGCAGGCGCCAACCGCAACACCCGGCTATCTTTCGGTTGTTGTTTGGCAGGCCCAGGCTGGATTCGAACCCGCCAGCTCTGTTATATGTGGCTGATGCCCTTAGCCGCTGAGCTATAGGTGCCAAGCCTGAGCATCTTTCAAAAACAATTTAATGAATGATCTTTAAAACTTTCTGCAGCACACCTAGGATCCTCTCACAGAGCCCTGCGGTACACCCATTGAAAATCACTGATCTATACGAAGAATGCCGGCCCTTCAGTGACATCAGGCATGACAAATGGAATATTATTATTCATTTCCTTCACCCCATGATTCCCACCTAAAACCTAAGACTAACGATGCCAACAACAACCAGTTTCGGGCTGTGTGTCTGGCAATGCTGTTTTTCCTTAGGGTACAGGGGCCTTTGGACAGACACCTGTTCTGTAAAGCACTAAGAAGAGTTACCCATGGCATGATGGGGTTACCAACTAGATATATATTTATTTAGGTATTTCAGATTCCATTTTTTATTATAAGAATTTGGAATACTATTTGTGAACATGTTATTATGAATACTGAGATTTTTTTTTTTTTGGAGACAGAGTCTCACTTTGTCATTCTCGGTAGAGGGTCATCACATCACAGCTCACAGCAACTTCAAACTCATGGGCTCAAGCAATTCTCTTGCCTCAGCCTCCCAAGTAGCTGGGACTACAGATGCCCGCCACAACGCCCGGCTATTCTTTAGAGATGAGGTCTCACTCTGGTTCAGGCTGCTCTTGAACTGCTGAGCGCAGGCAATCCACCCACCTCGGCCTCCCAGAGTGCTAGGATGACAGGTGTGAGCCACCACACCTGACCCTGATATTATTCATTTGAAACATTTTAAAAATTAAAAAGGGATTATTTGATAATGAGAACAATATAATAAGGTTCCGATGGCGAAACAAGGTAGTATAAGCCTAGCCTCTACTCCACCTCCGCCATCTTCGTCTCTCTTGCCCATTTTGTTTTTAATAGTTATGCTATTTTCTGGCTTTAACAAGAAAAGCATGACATAAGATGGTTTTAGATAGTCTTAGACTATGTGGTTTCTTTGTCATTTCTTAAGAAACTATTTGTGTATGTAGAAAAACTGACATTTTCATTCTAATGGTAAGTATGCTACTATTCTGGGTAATACTACTCAGAGTCCACCTTTCCTTTAATATCATCCATTAGTTACCTACTAAGAGTGGCATTATTATTAGCTAGTATCCACATCTTTGCTACTTTAGTTTAAGGATGGTATTCAGGATATTGTTCAATATACTGGACTCAGGAAAATTTTCCTCCCCAGTTTTCACGTGACGGCTATTTTGACTGTGGAAAAAATGATTCCTGCGGTTCAGGGATTCTAACCTTGGCACTGCTGACACCTGGGCCCTGAGATTTTGATGGGAGGGACTGTCCTGTGCTGACAGGATGTTTAATCCTATACTTGGTCTCTATGAGATACTAGAAGCCATCTCCCACATGTACTGTGGTAACCAAAAGTACCACCAGGCACTGTCAAATGGCCCTTGGGGGAAAACCACTCCTGGTTGAGAACAAAAGATATAACTAAATCTCTGCTTATTACTACTACAAAAGAAGCTCAACTTAATGGCAGGTTCTAAGAAAACATAAAAAGACCTGAAGGTGAGAACTCTGTATTAAATCCATCCGGGCATTGGGAGTGGGGAAGAGGGGTGACTTATGTCTGTAATCCTGGCACTCTGGGAGGCCAAGATGAGTGGATTACTTGAGCTCAGGAGCTAGAGACCAGCCTGAGCAAAGCAAGATCCTGTTCCTACTAAAAATAGAAAAATTAACTGGGTATTATGGCAGGTATCTACTTGGGAGGCTGAGGCTATAGGACCACTTGAGCCCAAAGAGTTAGAGGTTGCTGTGAGCATGGCACTCTAGCCAAGATGACAGAGTAAGACAAAGAAAGGAAGGAAGGAAGGAAGGAAGAAAGAAGCCCAAAAAATGATCCAGGCTTTATCTTAGTACCTAAATTGAATATCCACTTTCCAACTGAAAATAAAAAATTATGCTCTATATATTTTTCTTACCTTCCACTAATTCTTTATAGAACAAAGAGAATGAGTGAATTCATTCATTGGAAAACACAGGAAAGTTACTGGTCTTTATTCAAGGTAAAAATTAGTTTATTTATCTGAAAGTCTTTATGACTCATGCCACTAATTAGAATGTACTACCCCTCCACTGAGCAAATCTCTACAGTGTTGACATCTTCATTTTCCTATCTGTGAATAAGGAAGAATACGAAGCACAGCCCCCTGATAGCAAGGGCTCAGTGTCTGCCCAGCACGGACAAACTCATGTCCTCTGCTTTAGTACATGTCATTACTACAATATGAAATGACGTTTTAATAACTAGATGGCTAAATGAAATGTTGTACATAGGAGATGCATACCATGTACTTACTTACCCAATGCCCGCCAAGTTCTTAAAATCTAAACCACCACACTGTATAAAAATCAAAGCAACAAAATAAGATTTGCATATTCTCTCACTGGAGGCTGCAAGACAACACATATGCTTCAAATGTAATGTCTTTTTCTCAGTAAAAACAAGACAAAAGAGATATTTTGGGTTGAAAACAGCATTTAAATTTTAACACATCGGGCCAGCCAAACATGGGTGGTTGTGTGTTAGAGATTTTGTTGAGTCCAGAGGAGACCAAAAATATAAAAATGGGTGGACTGTATGCCGTTTCCAGTTCTCAACATCCACACAGAAGCTGCCTTTCTTTCCTCCAACATTTCACACGGTGTGGCCAACTAAAGGCACGTCTTGCTTTGGAAGACACACAAATACAAGGCTACAATAATAACCCGACACGAATTTTTGTATTCGAGTATATACGTTAAGGTGTAATTACCCACACACTATTTTCCAAACTCTAGATATCTGAACACCTGCACAATTAGTTAACTAAAATTTTCTCAAATTTAGGCAATCTATACTGTATTCCTAGGCTCACTGCAAGCAGCTATCCATTAAATCATGGGCTTACTGCGCTAATATATAATAAAAGAAACTGGGGTAAAATCGTGTACCGACCGCACATCACCTTGTATGCCACGCAGTGTACCTATCCCACATTTTGAAAAACACTCTCCAAAGTAAATCCAGTAACAGACTTCATTTATCCTTGTAGTAAAGAAATGTTACTTCCACAAAACTAATTTAGAATGTATTTGCTTGTTTACGTGTACAACAGACCCTAAATATCCTGCTTCGAAAGAAATAACCAACTGAAGCAAACTCTAGCTGCATTTCTGCTCCAAGGTGCCTGGGAAACATTTTGCATTACAGCCGAGTCTCATCTGGTCCAGATGATAGAGGGCAATTGTAAGAAGTGGTCAGCATCCGTCTTCCCCAGAATAGAATCTCGTAGGATGTTACTTACGTGTCCCAACTTGCACTATTCCTTCCAAACTCTCTACACGTAATATATGCACACCTTGTGTGTAGGTTTTGAAGGACAACCAGATGCATTCATGTTTTAATTACTATGCTTTTCCTATTCTCCTTACACATGCATTCAGAGCAGAAGTGGTTTATAAACATCCACAATCAAATTGCCAAAACTTGCCACAGATCGCTACCAATGGAGAGAAAGAAAATGAGAATGAGGGTGCACTGTAGTAGAATAAACTATGCATTCTAACCATTACCTACATTCTGTATGCTAACATTTTATAGGAGGTCTGACAATTAAGTTTGTGAGCTCATCCTAGAAAATGTGCTACATACCTCATTAGCACTGGGATTACCCACCAGTGAGGGGAGCACTCCCAAGGCAATTGAGTTTTTCTTACAGTGCTGCCAATGTAAGAAAACGGCAATTCTCCAACTTTGTATGATGACAGCTCTTATGGTCATTTCAGAAAAAGAGCTCCAAAATTGCTCTGAAGGGTGGACAGGGCACTGGCATCTGTGCACAGATTCCCAAGGGGAGTACTTTGAAAGTGACCGTAGTGATATTCAACAATGACGTGGGCAGCTCCTGCTCTAGGAAGAGTTCACGGACTGTCGGACATCGTGTTAACATACGTATCACTGCAATCTGAAGAGCAGCTGAAGACTATCCATCAGCAAACCCACACAGGACCACATTTCAAATACCAAATACTCTTTCTAGCACAAGTACATCGCTTTTCCGAATAAGCCTCCCAGGAATGGCTAACAGAATTCTTTAAGCAACGTCTTAAAACAGAAATACTGTGTCCTAGGACTGCTAATAAAGACTTATTGCGCTCTATATCCTTTTTGCTTGAGGTGGTATCCTAATAGCAGTTTCTCCGGATCACTGAAGGAACCTCTGGCCCTATGATCTCTTCTTCCCCAGCTCTTCAGATAAAGTTCAAATAACACAAATAATGGTTGCAATGGAGTTGGATATTAGTCAACAATGCTATGCTTTGTTCCTATACAAAGGCCTTTGATTATTTCTACTTCTTTCTGCATTCAGATCAAACATATGGAAAGGAAAGTTCCAGTTACTTTTACCTGAACTATTGTTCTTTATTTATTTTGATTGGCCACATAAAAGTATACTAGTCTAAAGTAAAATAAGTCCCATCTATTACAATGTGAGGAATCGTCTCTTTCTCTTGCAAAACACAATTTACCCCGGTTCTAAACTTAATCAATGTTTGATAAAAACAGATAATGAATTCCATTTGCAGGAGCATGGACGGATAACAAAAGTTGGGTCTCCCTGTAAATTAAGATGACATGGGCAGAGAAGAACGAGCTTCCACTTACTTGCACGAAGGACGGAAGGTGTGACCTCAATTTCACTTGTTGCTTGATAGGGCTGAAAGGCGGAAACATTGTTGGTGCCGAGCTCGCTACCAAATATCTCTGGGCTCTGGGTACCTGTGGAGCTGGCACTGGTGCCGTCGCCTCCATGATGGGGGTCTTGCTCATCAAACACAGCCACCAGCTGGAAATGAAAGGCAAATTCACCTGTAAAACCGTTTAGATTAGGACCCCCCTCCCCAATTATATTACTTTGACGTCGATCTTTAGTGGAAGAATACTGACATTAGTGAGCCTGGAATGTTAAGCATCAGGAAGCAACGGCTCAAAGGAAAAAGTGCTCCCCCTGAATTTTGATGCTTTGCTTTTACAGGTCTAAGTTGTATATTTCATATTCAGAATCCTATGGGTGGAAAACAAAAAATAATAAAAACGGCCTGCTATCATGGCATGTGAAGGCAAGAGTGGATTTAAATCTTTTCTTAAGGGTGGCGCCTGTGGCTCAAAGAGTAGGGTGCTGGCCTCATATACCGGAGGTGGTGGGTTCAAACCTGGCCCTGGGAAAAAACTTAAAAAAAAAAAAAAAAAAAAGAATCTTTTCTTAATATAGGATATATCGTCAAGTGGACAGGAAAAATGCAGAAGAGTGTGTGTGTGTGTTTGTGGCTATACGTGTGCAAGAGAGTATTAAAAACTACGCATATATCAGCTGTTTGTGCATAAGATATACAGGAAGGGGAAAGGGGAAATGAATGAAGCAGGTTACTCACAGGGAACAAACAGGAACAGGGATGAAAGAAAGAGGAACTGGGAACGCACGACGCCACCACGAGGCTGAGATGTTTCATCGGCAAACATCAGACAAACCCAAACGGACCGACAGTTTAGAAAATAAACAATACTCTTAAAGAAGTCGCAAGGTTCTGAGAGTCAAAGAAAAGGCAACAAGATTGTGTAAACTGGAGGAGCCTGAGGAGACAGGAGAACCATGTGCAAGGTGATGTCCTTAACTGGACCCATGGCCAGAAAAAGGGCATCAGTGACAAAGCAGTAGAAATCAACTGAGTGACGAAGATCAGTGGACGGTGCCGACTCCACGCGAGCGTCTGCCTGACTTCTGACAGCTGTTCTGTCACTATGAAGGATAATAGTTTTAGGGACAGATGAAGAGTATAAGGAAAGACTCTTATTATTCCAACTTATCTGCAGTATAAAATCATTACAACTACAAATTTGAAATGGCATAATATATATACACAGTACTAAAAATACGATAAAATAAGAATTCATTCTATGTCTTCTTATAACTAATGCAGTTCATCACTGATGTACTTCTTACAAATCCCCGGGACTAACACATTTTTAAAGAACAGGAATGGCTATCATCTTGGATGCCTGCCCGACCACCCCACGCCTAGCAACAAAGCTGACGACCCCAAGGAAAGAACCACGGTCATGGTCAAAATGTAGCCCCTCCCATCTACTGCTTTCAACGTAAGCTTTTTCAAAGACAATACTGTCCCTTAAAGGACAGTGACAAAAACCTATAGAACATGAACAGTACTTATGATTACAATTCTATTTCATAGGCTTTTATCAGTCTGAACGAATGCTACTCCCATGAACATTTACGTAGCATCAACCCATTCATGAAACAATAAAGGAAACCATTATAGGGTCACAGAGACATGTAGACAAACAGTCATCTCAGAACCCTGCTGAGGTTTGATATGCAATTAGCTGATTAAATAAGCTGGAAGGAGGGTAAGTGGTAAGAAGAAATCAAAAGAGGATGGATAGCTGGGCCACTGAACCTTATAATAAGCAGCGAGAGTGGGAAAAGAAACCCCTAATAGTTACCAAAAAATCTAACCATACAGAAATAAAATCAGCTTGTTAACAGACATTAACTGGTGACTATCTCCCTATGTTAGTAGCACATACAGCTCATTAGATCAGGAATCAGCAAACTTTTTCTAAAAAAGGGCCAGACTGTATGTAAATACTTCTGAAGCTGCGTTCCATTTCATCTTTCACAACGACTCTATATACCTACTGTAGCCTGAAAGGAGCCATAAACAACATACAGGCAAATGAATGTGGCTATGTTTAAATAAAACTTTATATAAAAGCAGGCAGCAGGCCACATTTGGCCTATGGGCCATCATAGCTCACTGACCCTGTTCTAAACTGCCCATCTTTCTAAGGAACACAAAACTTTGAAAAGTAAAACACAGTAAACTAACAATATTGCCAAGCTCATCATCAGGATTTGGGGCTTCCAATTTGATTTTAATATCATCGTACTTTTTACAAGGTGTGTGGCTTAATACGCATTTTGATGATATTAAGTTTTGACATTTTGGTGTTTAATTGGAAGCAAATGAAATTCATGATTTGTTATTAACTTTTCACAATGATGTGTTCTCTCAAGAACCACGTCCTCTCTGCGAATTGAAAATTGAGTTTAAAAATTACAAAGAACGAGTCGTTAAATGCCACACATGATGGAAGAGCTTAGACATGTATATTAGTTTCAATAATTATCTCCAGCATTTTTAGAAAACACAAGTATTATGAAATCTGGACGGTGTCATGAACAAATGCTGTTTGAATTTCAGTGGCAGAATCACAGTTGGTGATTCACAATATGCCAACAACATACAATTCTACAGCTTTCTTTTAGACCAAAATTTGAGTGCCAGGTGCAGATATGAAGCAATTTTGTGTTATATTGGGAAGGATATTTAATTTTAGAAAACCTATTCTACAAGAATACATATAATAACACAGAAACAAAAAAAAGGCAAGACCTTCACAAAAACACCACATACCAAAAACCTCTATCATGCCCTTCAAACAGTAAGGGAAATGTCTGCTTTTAAATTTGTGAAACGTGACTCAAATCCGTATTTTAACAGATGGAACCTTCAATGCTGTCCATGAAGTAGATCGCTTTTTGAAAGTTCATTTTTATTATTAAAATATTAGCCGATCTCTCTTCTGTTCTAATCATCCATCATGTCTCCATGAATAAAAGGCCAAATTTGGATAACACCCACAAAAAGCCAAGTATAAATAAACTCTAAACACTACCACACGTTTCCCACCTACCTTAGCACAGTCATTTTAATCCTCTGAAACATCAGAAGACTTCAACAGACAATCTGTTATAGAAATATCACAGATCAATGCTTACGAACCACTAGGATCTAGGCAGGCCTCTCTGAAGCTCTTTAGAGCTACATACAGTATTGGTTAAGAACATGGAATTTGGAAGCAGAGAGAGCTACGTTCAATACCAGTGCTGACCTTGTATTTCAGATGGCTGCTGGTGAATCCACAGACCTCTCTACCATCTCTAAGCTGTGCACTCCTCATCTGCAAAAGGGGGTGATGGTTTGGTAGGCAGAATGGTCTCCCTGAAGTTGGCCACATCCAAACCCCAGGAACTAGTCAATGTTACTTCCCACAGCAAAAGGGACTTTGCAGAATGACATTCGTGCTAAGAACCCTTACAGTTGAGATAGAGAAGTTATCCTAGGTTACCCAGGTGGCCCCATCTCATCATTAGAGTCTAGGAAAAGGGCGGCCTTCACCTGAATATCACTAGAGACGTGACGACAGAGGGATGTGACACTGGTCACTCTGAAGATGAAGAAAGGAAGCCCTGAGCCTGGACTCTGGTCAGCATTTACAAGCCAGGAAATCGATGCTGAGTCTCATGGAGCCACCAGAAAGGAGCTGGTCTCACCTCGATTTTACCCTCGTGAGACCCACGTCAGACTTCTACCAAACAGACCTGGAAGTCAATAAACTTGGGTCATTTCAAGCCACTAGTCTGTGCTCATTTGTGACAGCAGCAAAAGGAAAGACCCACAACGGCAATGCCTCCTCTCTCTGCTCGTGACAAATGAGGAGATGACGTAGACAGATCAACATTCAGAACACAGCAAGCACGCATTTACTATTATTAGCTTTCGTTAAATTATATCATGGTGGTTGATAAAGGTGTGATTTGTGATGGCTCTACAAATTTAAAAGGAAAGAAGCAGAAAAGGAAAGCAGCAGCCTTGTTAGAGAACACTTTGTTCAAAGACATCACACCAAAATGAAGACCTTCCATCACACCAAAATGAAGACCACACCAAAATGAAGCACACAGATGGTCCACGTGCTGCCTTCGGCACTGCGCAGAGGAACGGAGAAGTCGTTATTTCACCTTACAGAAAAGAAAGTTGAGGCTCATGGAGATTAGTCCGAGCAGAGTACAAATAAGTTTAAAGTAAGGGGTGAATCTGAGATCGGAAATCGAGTCTGACTGCAAAGATCGTTTTCTCCAAATCCACCTGCCCCTGCACCACCTAACACGGGACCGGCATGTCCTGTCCCAAGAACATCTAACCCCAGCAGCACAGCCCACGGGGACAGTGTGGGCGATGAGCACCTCCAGGCTTTGAACAGGACTCTGTTTATCCCTGATCAACCCAGATTAACACTCCGCCTTATCCAATTATTGCAGTTTGGGGTAACCACAGCTGGTGACATCACCATTCTGGCTTCCCCAGGGAGTTTAACACAATCAAAGGAGCGTGCAGATTTTGCCTTCACAAAGGAAAATGACAGATGACTTAAGTCAAATAACTGTCTACATGCGATCTGGAAAGACTCTGCGCTCACACTCCACACACGTGAGAATTCATTTTATGGCCGCTTCCCATGAGCAATCTCTCTGTTTCTTCACTTGCTTTCTTTCACGCACAGGCTGAATTTATCCACACAGGTGAACGTCCTTTGGATACTCAGTATTAATATAGGAGATTGTTTGACTATGAAGTAAAGACCAATCATTCTTTAGAACGGCATCGCATTTTTGGCCCTGGAGGAGGTGCAGGGGTGTCCAGCCTTTTTGCTTTCTCACCACACTGGAAGAATAAGAGTTGTCTTGAACCACCCATTAAATAACACAAACAGTTAAAAAAAAAAAAAAAAAAAGTCCACGCATACTCTTCACAATATCTCAGACAAGCAAAATAGTCCTCAAATAATTCACATGTGGCCTGGCCCACAGGCTGCAGGTTGGACACCCCTGGAAAGGATGTGGAAAAATACAAAAAAAGTGAAAAAACCTGAAGCTGTCTCCCACCACCCCCTCTCCATCTAAGAAACATGAGTGACCTCAAA